GAAAAAAATAAACTTTTCTTTTAATGCACATAAACACAATATATTATTTGGTAAAATATAAAAGATGATGGTATACCGAGTAAATAGATACCAAACATGACATGCTTTACAACTGCGCATGCCCCACGCAATGGCAACAAACTGCATACATTTTTAATATCCATAGGCAATGCTGTAAAAGCCTTTACAAGCTACCATTTTAGATTTACGGAGGAGGTCTAGTGCTAGAATTACTGCCCTTGATCTGATGTTCGTGGCAATACCTCACATGCATGGTGCAACCGGTGTTTACATACTGGCACAGGGTCAACACAGGGGGGGGCAAGGGTGTTGGTTTTTTTTTTTTTTATTTTTTTTTTATTACTTTTAATGCTATCACAGGGAATGGAAATATCCCCTATAACTTCAATGGGCATTGTCATATATTTTTTTGAGAAATCTGGGGTCTATCAAACTCTAGATATCTGCTCTGCCCTTACATTATCTAATCTCACCAAGATCGGTGTGATCAGATGCTTTCCCAATTTACAAATGGCGCTGTTTATATCCTGCAAAACTGAAGTGATGAAATGCTCATAGCTTCCGATTTCTTAGACTATAGAGATGATTGGCACCATTGTGTGGTCAGCTGGCAGAAGCACCGGCTGCATTCTTGGGTTCCCCCGATGGCACGGGACTGTCCGAGCAGGCCTTGGAAGGCAGCGGGGGAGGGGGAGCATCTTCTCCCACTGCTTTTAAAAGCAATCCTGCAGCTAATTAGCCACTCAGATTGCTTTTACATGAAAGCCGATCGCCGGCTGAATAAAACAATACCAGGGTGATGCCTGCAGCTGCAGGCTTCATCATGGTATAACCATTCACAGTTTAGTGTTTTTTTTTTTTTGTTTGTTTGTTTGTTTTTTTTTTTTTTTTTTTTTAACTGCGGCTGAAAAATCTAATTGAACAGCACTGCACAACCCTATTTATGTATATTCTGAGAGCAAGACCCTGTTGCTGTGATAATAAACAAGATAGTGCTGCAGCTGAATGACATCCTCATTTCTCAAGAAGGCTTCCCCCCCCCCCCCCCCCCCCCCCCCCCCCCCCCCCCCCTTCTTAGATGGGTATATACAAGCCGTTGGGGGAAGCTCCGGCGATTAGGTTGCAAGGTGCCACATGCGCCAATTCCAAGATTGTACAAATGTCTAAATAGTGGCGAGCTTGAATAAAAATTGTCCATGTGTAAGTAGTACCCCATATGGAAAAACACTGACACCAAGTCCCAAACTATCTTGCTACATGGCTCCCCATGTAGTCTGCAGTGGCTCCCCATGTAGTCTGGGCATCCGGGGGGCTCCTTGTAAGTCCGAAACTTATGTATAGCCTGTTGCCCTCTCACAGGTCTTATACAGCTTGACCCCATATCTGGCACGCTTGCTGGAGAAAAATTGTTTGAATGCAAGGCGGCCAAAAAAATTAACGAGGGACTCGTCAACGCAGATGTTTTTCTGGGAAGTATAAAAATCTGCAAATTTTTGGTGATTTGAGGGGCCACATTTTGTGGAGTCGGTCAAATTCAGGGTCACCCCAAGGATGACAGTGTGTTGTCGTAATGCATAAAACACATTATACTCGATCTATGCCTGGCAATGGCAGCAGAGAACACGGGCATATGGGGTCTGTGGACAAATACAACCGCAATTCATTTTTTTTAGTAATGCCCATGTTGAGGGTTAAGCCCAAAAAAACTTTGTATTCGAAAACTGTAATGGGTTTCCATGCGAATGGTCCTGCAAGGTTTGAATTTGGGGTGGCGGCTATAAACTGTTGTGCATATCAATTGCTTTGATCCACAATCAATGCATACAGATCTTCCGTGGAAAACCGCTCCAAAAAATCAAAAGAAGTAGTTAAGTTTGCTGTTTCCACCTGAATTCCGGGTTGGGCAATGAATGGGGGAAGTGCGGATGCTGCAGAAATTGTTGGCTGCCAATCTGAATTTGCAAGCACATCCGGAAGGATACTAGGGGCTCTACAGGCCTGTGTGCGAATTCTTGGTGGCTGCAGGACAATACTTGTGCTCGCCACCGCACCAGCTTGTACTTGTACGGGACTCTTCACATCACCAAGTGATACTGCAGTACTGGTTTGTGAAAGGCCAGTATGTACTAGGCCGCTGGTGCACTAAAAGGTAGAGCGGCACTAGTACTGGCCCTCTGCTGCATAGGAGAGTCATCAAAATTTGCCGGCAAGTGCCATCAGAGATCAGCAAGTGCCTGATTCCGTAAACTGTGGTTTTGTGTGCAAAGTTTCAAGTGACAGTGACCTACTGACACTGCACTTGCTGCGGGAGAGGGGGGGGGGGGGTAAGCGTAGGGGCTAAGCTCAGGTGCCAGGGCTGATCCCGCTAATGCTGCATTTTTGGGGACACTATACTAATGTGAACGCTGGTGTAGTGCTGATTTGATCAAATATACTGTTTGAGGTAGCATGATTTGAACAGGGATTGAATGTGGGCCAGAAAGGACAGTTAAGAATCCAGGCTTGCCCCTAGCACCCTGCCATGCATGGATGAACTGATATTTGTGCCATTGACCTTTGACAGAGAAGTCCGGGGAAGAGGCACCTGAGAGAGGAAATATTATGAACTCTGTTTTGAATAGACTAAGATTGAGGAAGTGGTGGGACATCCAGTCTGATATGTCTCCTGTAGTAAATCAGTGATATATGAGGAAACTGATGGGGTGAGCTAAGGGGTAGAGAGATAGATTTGGGTGTCATCAGCATTGAAATGGTATTGGAAACCATAGTAAGCTATCAGCTGACCCAGGGAACTGTACAGTGTACCGTACTCCCCTTGGGCATTTCGCACAGGCTTTCTGATCAGTTCTCCTTTACCGTTTTTAAGGTAAACTTGTTCAGAGGCCCCATGTAGCTCTATGAGCAGGCATATGTAAATTTACTCTTCATTTTCTTCCGTCTAGCTCCAATTCTGTTCAGGCCTGGGAAAAAAAATGTTTTTCATCTGAGCCACATCTGAGCCACATTTGCTACTGACTCAAGCAAGTGCTCATGTATTCCTATGGAGTACTCACAAGAGGGTGCAGAGCACACAGCCATTTATTTGATTTTTCACAGCTCTATGTGGACAACTCACTGGTCAATGATGCAAAGTCCACTGAGCAAGCCAAACTATCATGGTAATGCCAGGGCTAGTTGGTAGGAAATTTTTCGGGGAGATGGCAAAAAATAACAGACTGGGGACTAAAATGCACCTTGCTCCATTCCAGCTGATACAAAAAATACATGTATTTGGTTGTTCGTTAAATATTTTCTTAAATGTTACATCCCACCCACATTATAAAGCTGCAAATAATAATTTGATATATCTGTATTAAATACACTTTATTCAAATACAGGAGAGGCGTTATTAGAACCTTTAGGGCCACGGTGGCAGAACGCCAGTGCTCGGTCACCAATGCGACCTTTGCGACCCTGGTAGTTCTGCCACTGGTGTCGGTATTTTTTTATTTGTTGTTTTTTTTTTGTTTTTTTTTACTGTTTTATTTGTTTTTTACAATTTTTTTTAAATTTATTTTTTACATATTTTTAGGAGCCCCGTTGGAGGGCTTTGGTGAAATATCAGAGGTCTAAGCTAACCTCTGATATTTCACCTTTTGAGACAGAGAAAAGAGATTAAGGACACAGTCCCCAATCTTCCTCTCTGCAGCCTCAGCTGTACAGAATTAATGGACAGGAATAGCTCTGTATAGAGCTTCCTGTTCATTAACTGAAGCATAGTAAACAGTTTTTACTATGCATCAGTTATGAATGAACAGAGTTAGTGGTCGGTATGGATCACTGACTATTCATTTAGACAAGGAAGGGACTAATAAATTACACATTTACTGTCCCCTTTCCTGATCTCCATCCTGACAGGTCCCCCTGCAGCAGCTGACAGTGCTGCGGAGGATGTGGGGGGGGGGGGGGAGCGGGGATCACACAGAAGCCTGCGGAAGCAGCAGTTGGATGGGAAGGGTGGCATGTAGGGGAGCCAATCCCCTTCACATCTGCTGAAAGGTTGCAGAAGGATAATGGAGGGGATGAGTTCCTCTATATGCTGTCGTGCCCCCCAGGTGTACAGGGGGCTGGGTCGCAATTGTGAACCCTGTACGAACACCCCTGAAGTACAGTATTTATCCCGTTCTAAATTTATATGTAGATGCAAAGTATATGTTTTGTATTTTCTGGTTGGAAAGGTTTACTTTTTAGCAAAACTTTCATAGCAATGCAGCTTTTGTACTATCAAAGGTAGCATTTTATAGCATAACAAAATCATTTTGTTCTTGTATTGTAAAATGTGTGCATATTTCTCATTTAGTAATATACTGTATACTTTACAACAATTACTTTTGCTTAAAAGACAACTTTATACTCACTATAACTGTAGATGGTTTAAAAATTGTTTGGGAATGGGCTCTGAAACAAACCCTTATGGTTTATGCACAAAATATTTTGATTTGTATTTATCCTGGTGAGTCTGGGTCTGGACAACCAATCATCCATAGACTTCAGATTGAGAGCAAGTGATTTTAATGGATTTCTCCTGTTATGGGTATGTCCTTCTAAAAATGTAGTGATGTGTCTGCTTAAGTAGATAGTAGGCCTTGTGTTCCAATATGCAGACTTTAAGAAGAATACCATATAAAACTTGTCTCCCACTACATTATACCAATTTTAGGGTAATAAAGGCACCCCTCTGCTAGTAGTTTCCACATCATTGGATCAGTGTAGATAACCAGCAGTACAGTTTAAGTTTGGGTGGGGTGTTTTCCTGTGGTGACCCCATGTCTTCAGTAATAACCTAATCCAAAGGAAAATGCCAGATTCTTCAGTAAAAGGCTGTAGAAGGCTACAGGTTTGCATCCCTGAGTAGACTTTTTTTTTTTTTTCGTAATATACTGTATGAGTCACACCATGGCTATGGACACATCATTTTTTTTTTTTTTTTCTTTCACCAGGTATCGGACCTGATGGTCACATAGCTTTTAATGAGCCAGGGTCCAGTCTGGTCTCTAGAACTAGAGTGAAGACATTGGCTATGGACACCATACTGGCAAATGCACGCTTCTTTAATGGAAATCTTTCCAAAGTGCCTACCATGGCATTGACGGTTGGTGTGGGGACGGTGATGGATGCCAAAGAGGTAATATTTAATAAGTAAAACCTTCAATTTCAAGAATTTTATTGTACAGGTAATTTTGGGAAGCATGTTAAAGTGTATCTATAGTCAACCTTTGTTATTTAGTTTTGGATTTGTTTTACTGCTGTTAGATATTCTTTCACTTCCTGTCTGCTAAAAAGGTTGTCCTTAAGACAAGTATTGAGGGGAAATCTCTAACAGTAACACAGACAGAAGTAAAAAATGTTTTTATGTTAACTAGGTAAATGCTGAAACCTCTGGTGGTTTTTTTTTTTTTTTTTTTTTTTTTTTTTTTTTTTTTTTTTTTTTTTTTTTTGCTGTCCGTTTCCTTGTTGCAGATTTCTTTCTCTTTCTGTCTGGTGAAATGTCCCTAGAAGAGAAAAAGCGTGTTGACATGTCTGATTTTACTGTTATCTGGGGCTCCATTAGCCAAGAGTTGTAACAATGGTACAGGAACAGGAGCCACAAGTTTATAACTAGTTTTGCTACTGGGGAGCCAAGTATACCCGTTTCCTACCCAAATGCACCCACATGCAAGTGGTCTTGGGCCCTGTGTTGCTTGTACCCCAGATTGTGAAGCTACATCACTGTCCCCACTATCCCATAATTATTTGACTATAGGATCAATGAAAGTTGAACTAAGCATGCTGGATTTATATTCATATATTAAGAATTCTGACCGTGTTTAATTTTTAATGAATAAATGTATTTCTCATACACCACTGAATGCATATAGTGTGGCCGTCATAGACCTATTTAAAGCTGAACTCCAACCTTACCTTTAATGTTGCATGTTTGTACAGGCTCCTCTGCTGTACCAAAATTGTTTATTCTGATTTCACAGCACACTATGAGCTTGCAGTGTTCATTAGCTACAGCACATGAGATAGTCCACCTCATTTCTTGGCTGGAGGATATCCTTTATCAAGCATCCCTTTCCTCCTCAGCTAAATTTATTCTTGGTCCTCCCTTTACATTCATTCAGGTTTTTCAGTCACAGAGGCTCAGTGTACATGTGGGTTTTACCCATGGAGGTCTACTGTTTTGAGGAAGCTATATAGTACAAAACCCTGCCAGACTCTTCCACCATTCATCATCTGTCTGAATTACATAGAGAAGCACAGAGACCCAGTGGTGAAATTACTGTGTCTAAAATAGGATATGTAATGAAAACAGGTTAAATTTTTTATTTGTATGTTGAAGGGGGGCAGTAATGAACGAGGGTTGATAAAATATTAGCAGATTACAGCTGTTAAAGTCGGTAACTATTGTGGTTTGCAGGTAATGATTCTTATCATGGGTGCCCATAAAGCCTTTGCTCTTTACAAAGCTATAGAAGAAGGTGTAAATCACATGTGGACAGTGTCTGCCTTTCAGCAACACCCTAGCACAGTGTTTGTCTGTGATGAAGATGCCACTTTAGAACTTCGGGTGAAGACTGTGAAATATTTTAAAGGTAAACCTCTAACATTTCCTTTAAAATTCCATTTAAATTCTTTATGGCATATTTCAAAATCATTGCTCCAAAAAATGTATGTACATACACCCTGTTCCAAATTATTATGCAAATTATATTTTTCTCATTTCCCTAAATTGATGTAAATAACAGTCAGCATAATTCTCATGTTATCAACTATTAAGAGTACAATTCACATTTTATTGAACAAACCTCCTAATAACAGGATTTTTTTTTTTAAACCTAAACGTACAATGCACTATTCCAAATTATTACGCACAGTAAGTTTCAAAACACTTTATAGGTTGTAAATAACTGAAAATTGTCTCTTGTTTGCAGCATATTTACTGAAATCAAAAGCTATTTCAATCAAACTTTTAACAACATTTTAACTTTTTTAAAACATTTTAACAGGTCACGTTACATTTTAACATAGGACCCCTTATTTGATAGCAGCTTCACAAGTCTTGCATCCATTGAACTTGTGAGTTTTTGGACAGTTCCTGCTTGAATTTGTTTGCAAGATGTCAGAATAGCCTCCCAGAGCTGCTGTTTGGATGTAAACTGCCTCCCACCCTCATAGATCTTTTGCTTGAGGATGCTCCAAAGGTTCTCAATAGGATTGAGGTCAGGGGAGGATGGAGGCCACACCATGACTTTCTCTCCTTTTTATCCCCATAACAGCCATTGATGCAGAGGTATTCTTTGCAGCATGAGATGGGTCATTGTCATGCATGAAGATGATTTTATTACGGAAAGCATAGTTCTTCCTTCTGTACCAGGGAAGAAAGTGGTCAGTCATAAATTCCACATACTTTGCAGAGGTCATCTTTACACCTTCGGGGACCCTAAAGGGTCCGACCAGCTCTGTTCCAATGATTCCGGCCCAAAACATGACTCCACCACCGCCTTGCTGATGTCGCAGCCTTGTTGGAACAGGGTGGCCGTCCACCAACCATCCACTACTCCATCCATCTGGACCATTCAGGGTTGCACGCACTAATCAGTGAACAGGACTGTTTGAAAATTAGTCTTCATGTATTTTTCTGCCCAATGCAGCTGTTTCTGCTTGTGTGCATTGGTTAGTGGTGCCGAATAGAAGGTTTATGCACAGTTGCAAGACTCTGGAGGACTCTACACCTTGATGTCCGTGGGACTCCAGAGGCACCAGCAGCTTCAAATATGTGTTTGCTGCTATGTAATGGTATTTTAGCAGCTGCTCTCTTGATCCGATGCATGGATCTGGCAGAAATCTTCCTCAATGTGCCTTTATCTGCACAAACCCATCTGTGCTCTGAATCGGCCACAAATCTCTTAATAGTGCGATGATCACGCTTAAGTTTTCGTGAAATATCTAATGTTTTCATACCTCGTCCAAGGCATTGAACTATTTCACTCTTTTCGGCAGCAGAGAGATCCTTTTTCTTCCCCATATTGCTTGAAAATGGTGCTCTGCTTAATAATGTGGAACACCCTCCTTTAGTAGTTTTTTTTCCTTAAATTGGGCTCACCTGCCAATCTAATTATCACAGGTGTCCAAGATTGTTTTCAGTGATCAAAAGAGCCCTGAGACACAATGCCATCCATGAGTTACACTGAAAAACAAAATATTTAATCTCTGACACTTAAATAGAATTTGCATAATAATTTGGAATTGGGTGTATGTGTAAAATATATATACACATATATACACAGTGCCTTAAAAAAGTATTCCTAACCCTTGTAATTTTCCACATTTTCTTATGTTACAACCAAAAACATAATGTATTTTATTGGTATTTTATGTGATAGACCAACACAAAGTGGCACATAATTGTGCAGTTGAAGGAAAATGACAAATGGTTTTCAGTCTTTTTTACAAATAAATATCTGAAAAGTGTGGCATGCATTTTGTATTCAGCCCCTTTACTCTGATATCCCTAATAAAAATCTAGTGGAATCCATTGCCTTCAGAAGTCACCTGATCAGTTCAGCTGTGTATAATTTAATCAGTATAAATACAGCTGTTCTGTGAAGCCTTCAGAGGTTTGTTAGAGAACATTGGTGAACAAACAGCATCATGAAGGCCAAGAAACACACCAGACAGGTCAGGGATAAAGTTGTGGAGAAGTTTAAAGCAGGGTTATCCCAAGCTTTAAACATCTCACAGAGCACTGTTCAGTCCATCATCTGAAAATGGAGGTCCATGGTAACTCTGGAGGAGCTGCAGAGATCCACAGCTCAGGTGGAAGAATCTGTCCACAGGACAACTATAAGTCGTGCACTCCACAAATCTGGCCTTTATGAAAGAGTGGTGAGAAGAAAGCCATTGTTAAAAAGAATGCCATAAGAAGTCCCATTTGTAGTTTGCTGTGTCCCCCACATGGCTTCTTGCAAACACGTGGAAGAAGGTGCTCTGGTCAGATATAACCACAACTAAACTTCTTGGCCTAAAGGCAAAACGCTATGTGTGGCGGAAAACTTGACACTGCACATCACCCTGAACACACCGTCCCCACCGCGAAACATAATGGTGGCAGCATCATGCTGTGGGGATGCTTTTCTTCAGCAGGGACAGGGAAACTGGTCATAGTTGATGGGAAGATGGATGGAACCAAATACAGGGCAATCTTAATTCTTAGTCTGCAAAAGATTTGAGACTGGGGCGTAGGTTCACCTTCCAGCAGGACAACGACCCAAAACCTACAGCCAGAGCTACAATGGAATGGTTTCGATCAAAGCATATTCATGTGTTAGAATGGCCCAGTCAAAGTCCAGACCTAAATCCTATTGAGAATCTGTGGCAAGACTTGAAAATTGCTGTTCACGGACGCTCTCCCATCCAATCTGGCAGAGCTGGAGCTATTTTGCAAAGGAGAATGGGCAAAATTTTCACTTTCTAGATGTGCAAAGCTGGTAGAGACATCCTCAAAAAGACTTGCAGCTATAATTGCAGCAAAAGGAGGTTCTACATGTATTGACTCAGGAGAGCTGAATACAAATGCACACCACACTTATTAACTGGTTTTTAAAATTTTTTTACAAATAAATATCTATCATTTTCTTTCCACTTCACAATTATGTACCACTTTGTGTTGGTCTATCACATAAAATCCCAATAAAATTCATGTACGTTTTTGGTTGTAACATGACAAAATATGGAACATTTCAAGGGGTATGAATACTTCTTCAAGGCTGTGTGTATATTATGTACATAAACAAAATGAGAAGCAAATATTATTTCTTGTAACTATGGATTTCATTAGTTTGAAATGAATTTTTTTAACACAAAATAACACACATATACTTTCTGCAGTCCTTGGAATAAAATTTGCCATTCCTTTTGTATTGATTTTGATGATCCACCAATTGTTTCCTTTTTGGTTCAGTGCTTTCTTTTGGTAAAATAACACCCCCCCCCCCCCTTCCCCAAATGATACCAGCCTGCACCCACCAGGGTAGTCCCATAGGGGCTACAAATATATGTGCTCCCCATTCTGATATCCATACCTTTTTTAGTTTGGGGATTGTAGCAATCGTGCACACAGAGATGGATGCAAACCTCCATTTTGGCAAAGGCTTCCATCTTCTATCATTCTCTGCTCCCAAATCCGCTTCCCTCATCCCCCCTCCTTCTCTGTTGAGTGACACATGGTCCCTGGATGCTGAGTTCAAAAAGGCATCAAGGCCCAGCAGGAGAGCTCATGGCTATAAACCCCAATTAGCCTGGCCCCCGTGTGTCTGCGAGACTCTGCTTGGAAAAGGATCATAAAACCATAATCCAGTGCCTTGCTGAGCTTCAAAGACATTCCAGATAAGCCATAAAGCAGACATCATGTTCAAAATCCCCTATCATTACATATCTTGGAGTATGAAAGACTTGCATTAAAACCGGGCATATATTCAGACCGGTCACTATAAAACAAATCATCTGATATATTACACCTAGCTGACAGCTACAGGAGAGCAGAAAATTAGATCTCCTTAACCGTCCCAGCAGGTATGTCTTATTTCATATCTAGACGTTCAGCAGATGATTCTGCGTATTAATCTACCTGTGGATAGAATGTTACATGTACCTAGGAAACGTTATCGACCATAGTATAATTTGCGAGGGATTTGGTCATAGCCTGAGCTCCCCGCCTACAACACCCCTCCCCAAATGAGGCGATTGGTTCTCTGCTTTAAGGAGACACCCTGCTGAGTTCCTAGAACAAGGCTGTTATGCGTGAAGCAAGCTAAGCTGAGTTGAGCTAAGTCAAAGATTCTCCCTTTTAACATCGGAACTAACTGGGAGACAAAGGCACCCTTTTGGCTCAGGAAACTTTATCTCCTTAAACCAGGACGTTTGGCAAGTACTTTACCTCGCTAAATTTCTTTCTGTTATCTCTTTGCTGTGTGTGTGTGTGTGTGTGTGTGTATGTATATATATATGTGTGTGTGTGTGTGTGTGTATATATGTGTATGTGGTATGTATGTATGTATGTATGTATGTATGTATGTATGTATATATATATATATATATATATATATATATATATATAATATATATATATATATATATATATTTTTAAAAAAATTTTTTTTTTCCCGTAAATATTTTTATTGCACCCTTTTGACCTTTTTAGTAATAAATCTTACTTTCTGAAAGTGTTGAACTGTTTCTAAAGCTCTTTAGTGCAAACTAAGAACCCCTGTCTCTGAAGAGCGCTACTGTGTGTTTTAAACGTCTGTATACATCTGTCTGCGGTGACATTGTGTATACAAACAATTATTCAAACATCATTGTGTTTATTGCTGATATTGCCGAGTTTCCTTTTCTCTGTACAAAAAGGAGGTGGTGGCAGTGTGAAGGGTTAATTGCGTAATTAAACTGACCCAGTAACAATCGATCCCAGGCTGCAAGTACACAGATTGTGTCCCATTAGCTGGAAAATCTTTGTGCAGGGGGCAGCTGGGCGTGACATTGTTACGCACGTGACGTTTTAATTGGCTAGTCCTTCGGACACGAGGTTGGTGAGAAGGGCTGTGGTCTGACGCCGCGATCGTCACAGGGATGGTAAAAGAAAAGACCACAGGGATGGTAAAAGAAAAGACCACAAAACAATGAGGCCTTTCTTAAAACCTGAACACCACGTTCCTCCACACCACCCTTGATCAGATGGCAGTATGTGCATTAAGGAGGGATTATATATAGTTTTCCTACCTATGTATCTATCAAACTTGTAAAGGAATATTTGGGGTTCCTTTAAAAAATTTTATTTGTTTTACACAAAATAAATAAAGAAGCAGTCCACCTACAACTGATATTTTTAGTTTTTTGCAGGTACTGGAAGTTTAAACCACCTTACAATTCCTCCTAATTCTCAGCCACTGGAATTGTATAGGTAGGCTATCTGCACTTGAGTTGCTGGGTCTGTGTACCTCCTGAAGCAATTATAAAGAAGTTTCCGCTCCCTGTGAAACTTTATTTTTTATCTCAGGAATATACCAGGAGGTGCTGGAACACACAAAGGCAGTCTGTAACAACTGAAATTTCCAGGTTGGTAGGAATTGAGTTGTGAAACATGGCAAGGAGATCTGACTATTAGAGTATCCAAGTCATGTATGGAGCCAGGGACTGATCCATCTCACCAGGTTACACCTATAAATTCATTATTTATTAATTTTTTTTGGAGTGGACTGACTATTTAAATAAGAACAGAGACATGTTTTATTTTTAACAATAAAAATTACTAAAAGTTAAATTGATTGGGCTTGGTGGATTCAATGTAATGCTAAAGCCGGTAGAGCAATTTTTTCCATCTCTAGTTCTGAGTTTTGTATACAGACCTGTCCTGTGCTTTGCACAAAGGTTTATTGCAATACATTATGGCTTCAGTTAACATGCAGTAGTATTTATAAGGATTGTGAATAATGAAATCTGAACTCCAATGTATGGAATTTTTTTCATAGTTAAATTGGTTCAGCTTCGATCATTATAGATCTACATATTTCATACCTGGCTGATCTCTGTGGAAGAGTCACTGTAGTAGCCACCACTACTGCAGTGATCCTTGCTGTATTCCAGCTCCAGTGTTGAGCAACTGCCCTTCTGCATAGTTGCCATAGGAAGTTGCCAGCTTGGCATTTGCTCCATTCAGAGAACACCTTTCATTTTTTTCTTGATAAATGCAAATGATTTTCTGAATGAGAGGGAGAATGTGACATCACCAGCCCACCTCCCTGCCTTGTCCAATCGGAGAATGCTTCATTCATTGAGAAAATGCAAGGTGTTATGTGACTGGTGCATGTGCTGAGCCAGTGACCCCATGAGGTCACAGAGCAGCAGAGTACTGGACCCAGGAAGAAGCAAGGATTACTGTAGTAGTGGCAACTATCACAATGATTCTCCACATCCACAATGATCAACAAGGTATGGAATATGTATACTTACTTTGTTCCAAGCTGGACCAATATAACTATGCAAACAAAAAAAAACCATACCTGGAATTCAGCTTTAATAAGGTGCTCTGGAATAGAAAACATAATCCAGTACAGTGTGTTCTCAACTCACTGATTAATGACTGTGCTCTCACATTTACAGGATTAATGCACGTTCACAACAAACTTGTTGATCCTTTGTACAGCATGAAGCAAAAAGGGACAGAAGAGGAACACACTCCAAAGAAACCATACAGTGACTGAAGTAGTCTTCGTAAAGCTGCATTGGCTCTGGAAGGCTTACAGTATATTTTTTAACTGCATTGTACTGAAAGGGCAATCTACTCTTCCATCCTCATGACAAGAACATCCGGAAGGGTGATTTGGTATGCAGCACAGGGTGAAAACTCCACCATCATTGTCTTGTAGTTAAACCTAGTCTTACAGTTTTGTACACTTTATATGAGAATCTTTTCACTTTTCCTTATGTTTTTGTATGACAAAATATTTTTTGTAGTAGATTGCAGTTGTAATATTATAGGAAAATAAAGATGCTGTATATTTTCTGTTTGGACTACCTTCACACATGGCTCCCTAGTGCACTTAACATAGCATGAGGAGGAATCTTCCTCCTCATAGAGATGTCCACATGCTGTTCATTGTTACCCACCAGGCAATGTTTTCACAAAAATCCTAAAGCTGAACTCTGGGGAAAGTAAGAATCCTCCTTTGCAGTGGGACTGCCTCTGCACTGCAAGGGTTAAATGCTTTAGGGCCAGTTCACACCAGATTCCTATTCGTTTCCCTGCAGTGTAATTTTGGTAATCCCCTTCATGTGAATTGCACTGCACAAAAAGTGGTGTCTGCAATACTTGAAAAAACAACATGCAGTACCAGATCACATGGCACTGAGGTACCATGTGATCTGGTGACCGCAAACGCATTGCGTTTGCAATCTGCATTTGAGATGCTGTTAATAATGTATTGGCACCTGCAGCAGACTGCAAAGGCAGTGAGGCGCACAGAATGCACCTTTCCTGTACTACGGTCTGGTGTGAAATGATCCTAAATCATAACTCCTGTTTAATGGACCTTTTAAATAGTCTGTATGGGCCAAGCTGGTCGACACAAACTATTTAGTGCATTATCAGGTGTGCTTGCTGGGTGCACAGTATATGGCTTCATACAGGATACAGCACCGTTCCGGCAGTGGAACGGTAGGTTCCCATCCCACTCCTGGAACAAAATAGTGTGACTAGGCACTGCTCAGCCATTCACTGGAAAATTTGTATTCCATGAGTGACTACAAAGCTTTTTCTGATCGTCTGAGTCAGAGAGGCGGGCAGATGAAGTCACAATCTCCGACTTGGACTATCAGAAAGCTTTGTAATTATTCATAGATTACAAAGCTTCCTGTGAATGGCTGAACAACGCTTAGCCTGACTCTCTCTTGTTCTGGGAGTGGGATGAGAATTTCCAATTCCATCCCACTGCCTAATCACAGTGCTAAGGCTACATACAGTTAATACAGCGTGCCCAGCAAGTGCACCTGTTAGTGTAGTGAATACTTCTTCATTTTGACCAGTTTAATCCAAACAAACCTATTTAAAGGGACATTAAATGTGGCGTGAGACTTTAAGTCTAGTGGGACCAAAAGAAGCATTTTTACTTGCCTCATCCTCTGCTATCCTATACTTAGTCTTGGATGACTTCTTGACAGTCATCAAGCCAAATGCAGAGCCCGCTGAACTGCAATGGATGTGAGGAGGCTGAGGTATGGTCCGCTGTCAGAGAGTAGAGGAGAGAGCCAGCTGCCAGGGGAGTGAAGGCTCAGGTAGGTAAAACTGCTGTTCCTGGTCCCCCCTAGACATAAACACCAAATCAATAGAAATCATGCACATAGATTGTTTAAGAAATAGTTCAAGTAGCTGTTCAATGCTAATGTAGTACTGTAGCCCTTGTAACATGTGTAAGGAGCTGATAAGAGACTAGACTGTAGCAGTATGAGCTATGTAGTACCAAACCGCTGTCTGTCGTCTCTCAAACACCTGAAGGATTGTCTCACTGGCGTTCTACATCATAACATGTTTTGTGCCTTTAAGGACATCACATAAATGCAATTAAAGTACACTTTGTATGCAGTATTGTGTTTTTTGTTTTGTCGTGACCACATGTAAAATCCCTGGCATGTAGCATGCTTTTGTACCATTAATTACTACATGATGGCGTTACCCCATGTTACTGACTTTTGAAATCATACAAATCGGCTGCATTTATCCCCCACCGGCTCTAAGGGTGAGAACTGAGCGATCAGACACTGCTGATTGTTCAGTTCTCCCCGCCGCTCTGATCAGTCACCACTCTTTGCTCTGCCCCCCCCCCCCCCCCCCCCCCCCCCCCCCCCCCGTGCTCTCACTGGAAATTCTCTGTACTTGAAGGAGAAAAAGTAACATGCACAGGGAGGATACTATTCACCAGGAACAGGCCTCAGAACATGGAAAGGAAAATGTAACGAAATACCTTATCCATGCCTTTATGCTTCCCAATTAGAGATCTAATTCATTAAAATGTCCAAACCTTGTGTACCCACTGTTGCCTGTTCTGCACAAATTAGATGTCTGTAGGAAATTCATGGATAATTGCACCTCTTTAGGAAAGGCAGTTAAGGATGTGTGATGGTGCAAACTGACTTTTCAAAGATGTACATCTCTAGATCAGAAAAATATAGGTAATATTTATGTATCATCATATATCTTCCTATCTCAGGCTAGTCATTTTTTTTAATTCCTGGACGTAGCCTGCAGGTGGGGTGGCTTTGCTAAGTTTTATCTCTCATAGGACATATACAGTACATTTTTAAGGATTCTTGCATTTCTGATGTTTACGTTTTTGTACCAGTAACTGGTTTTTGTTTAGTAGAATGTAACCTCACTATCATTGGAAGTACCTTTTTATCTTTTGTTTTGTGTGTGCACATCTGTTGAATCAATATCGGTTTTCAGTAATTTCTGTGGGATCAATTCTGCACCACTAGAACCTCTGACAATATTTCAAAAATACATTAACAGTCCCTCTTCTTCCTCCCACTGAGATCAAGGATGGGGCCCTATTCCTCCCATTGACATTAACAAAAGGGTATAATCCCCCCTCAACACAATTTATGAACCCTATTTCCCCCTATTGACACCAAGAATTTGGAACTATTCCTCCCAGTGATACCAACAATGGAGCATTATTCGAACCAGTGACACCGCCAATCCCGAGGAATATTTTTTTTTTTTTCCTCTGAAATCAACAATGGGGCATTATTACTCCGTTGTTATATCAACAAACAATGGGCATAATTTCTCCTTCTGACACCAGTTACAGTGACATCAGAAATGGGCCACAATTTCTCCTAGTGACATCAGTGATAGAGAACTGTTACTTACTTCCACTTGTGATAGGACACTATTCCTTCCACCAACCCCAACAATGGGACATTGTGTTGAATGAATTACTAAAACTGGAGAGTGCAAAATTTGGTGCAGCTCTGCATAGAAACCAAACACCTTCCAGTCTTTTTGCCAAAGCTTAAAGTACAACTAAATGTAGCAGTATCACATGAGTTGCTGAGTTTTGGGTCCGCCTATAGTTCTGCGCAGCCAAGCAGCATGCATTTTCTTCAGGCCTTGCACACTGGAGACAGTAAACAGCCCTTGAGCTTGTTTTTTTGGGGAGATTTTATTAAAGATTATTGTTCTTGGATAGGGTTTAGAGGTATATGGGGTGCTCAAGGAAACCACAACTTGAGGACAACTCCTTAGCAACTATGTACAAGTCCACAGACAAAGATTCTCTTCTTGGAAAGCTCTCCAGCCCTCCTGGTGTACCTCCTCAGACCTTAGATGAATTCTCCTCTTCACCCAGCTGCCTGAGGGAATTCCTAAACAAGGGGCCCCAGAAACTGATACTTTAAATCAACAGTCCCAGATGGGAGCTACTCAGGTTTCCCACCAGAAAGCCCTCTCCCCTTATCTGGCCCGGGGGGGGGGGGGGTGGGGATTACTCACTCAGTCCTCTCCTGCAAGTTTGAGGGTTGGTGCCTACCTTCAGGCCTTACTGTCAGGAAACTAGTGCAGTTAATGCTAATTCTTCTGCAGCTCGTGCAAATTATTTTCCAGCTAATCCTAATTCTCATGCAGCCACTGCTCATTCCCATGCAGCTAATGCTTGTGCATGTGTACCAGCACACAGACGAGCCCAGGCTAATATGCAGCATGCACTGACACGTAGGTGCATCTCTATGCGCCATCACGCATTGGCATGCACGTCTTCCTGCCAAGCTGCCTATTTAAAAGAGACTCTGCTGTACTAATCGCTGAATGTTCTTCATTTTCCTGTGATCCATGGTCCTGTTTGTACTGACTGATCTTTCATTGCTGACTCAGCTTGTTCCTGATCTTGCTCTGTGGATTCTGGATTCTGACCTCGGCTTGCCTTAGACTACTCTCTACCTGATGATCTGGTGCTGACCTCGGCTTGTCTGACTATTCCCTGCCTGATCTCCTGGTGCTGACCTTGGCTTGCTACTGGACCTCGCTCTGCTTGCTAACCTGGTACTGACCCCAGCCTGCCTGCTGACCACACTACTGTCTTACTGTGTATGACCCTGGCTCACCTTGACTATGTCCCTAACTGTGGAAGTCACCTGCTATCAAGCTATCAACATCCGTTCTTTGAGCCTTGTATCTCTGTCATCACGTTCAGGGGTGCTCGAACCAGAGCCGCAACGGAAGCACTTTCGTCAACTGTGCCTCCAACCAAGGTACATGACACATTGGGGTGGCTCCTTCCCTGCTTCCTAGGCTGTGCTCTCTAAGGGGATGGGTGAGGCTGAGAGATCCTCCCATTCAGCTCTTGGCTGCAGGTAGGCCCCTCTCCTGGTTCCCCTCCCAGGCCCCACACACCAGCCTTCTCACCCCATCTTCCACCCAACACTGACCACTTCCTGGTCAGGCTCTCTCATCTTAAGGGCTGTTCAGACCCCATGCCAAGCATCACCCCCTTCCCTGTCACACAACCTCCCCACAACCCCCCCATCCAATTATTATTATTTTCCAAGGAAAACCCTCCAACAGCGTAACCCCCTCCAACCATCAACTAATGGTAACACAGGAGCAAATAAAGAAGGTAAAATCCCTCATTCCGGCCATCACTACTATAGGAAAATGTGAGAAATACTTATATGACTAACAGATATTAAGAACTTGTAAAAGACCTCA